CACTGACCCGTCACCTCTCGGCCCGGGTTTATGGCGTTCATAATCTTCAGGTTCTGCAGGTTTTCCACTAAAATACTCAAACTGTAGGCAAAAACAAACAAAAAAGAGTTAAAATGAGTTCAAAAAATAATTTAAAAAACAATAACAAAATACAAACCGGTTTTCATCCAATTCACAGTTGGAGACGTCGATGAACTTCAACTGCGGGAACCGTACGGCCAGTATTGTGATGCCTTTCCAACTGAGGTTACGGCACCCGTAGAGACTGATTCGCTCCAGTTTTGGCACATTTTGCCTCAGAATGGCCACCAAATGGTCGCTTACAGTGAAGTTCTTGACAATCAATTGTCTCATATTGGGGTAAAAGCTGAGCATTGCGTTGAACTCGTAGTAATTCATGACCGGTGGGGGCGACCCCTTCGCCACGCGACCCGTGTATTGAAAGCCGTGTCGAGAGGCCAGGTATGCGTCGATGTTGGAGCGCCAGTACTTACACACGAGTCTCAGGGGAACCAATTTGCGCCAATTGTTGGCCTTCAGGTACTTCGCGAGGATTATCTGAAACACTTCGGGACACAAGTCGTTCACATTCTGGGGCTGACACGTGGCCAACAGCTCAGACATCCAGTGCTCGACCGTCACGCTGTCGATGGCAGGCGTGGTGTGAGTGTGTGTCGTGTCCGCCGACCCGGAGACGCCGTCTTCAGCCGAGCAGTCGTTTAGTTTACGTTTTTTGGCGGCGCTTCCCATCCCTTTGTGGTCGTCCTCTATCTGTTGGCCGCATATCCGTCGCGAGTCCTCCGATATGTCCACCGAATCGCCCAATAGAGCCATCAGTGTTGAGGATCTACTTCTTGTACTGATATCACAGTTAAGCAAAGTTTGGGATAAAGTTTGCAGATCTCTACGCAAACAATGCGATCAATGCTATGCTATGGGAATGACGTGTGAATGCGATCGCACAGCAAAACACTTGAATACAATGTATACTTCGACACGACTGTCCCTTCAATGGCACTTCACACGCGTTAAATAATATTTGCGACTTCAAGGTGATGGCAATCGTGTAACCGCTGAGGAATACAACCGACAAATGATTTCGTATTAAATGTTGATGCAATCGATGGCACAGAGAGTCAGCGGAAATCACAAATAATGGCGAATAGAGTGCGACTGAACCACAGCTCACATGAGATATAAGGAGATATAACTCGACTACCATTCAGTGCGGGCTATAGTCATGCGCTCACAACTCACTCCACATCCCAATGCCATTGCATTCAATACATTACGTCAATGCCGTTCACATCTATTTGTCCCCCAGTTTATTATGAGACGTACTTTTTGTATGTTTATTATACTTTTTATTGCATTTGCAGTGTTATGTGAGACTTAAAAGTATAATATATCCCATTATTAAAAGGACTCTCTATATGATGAGTACGTAATCTATTGAATTGAATGAGTTTTTTGAAGCTATATTTAATAATGAGCGCACTATAGGCCTACACATTGTGACGGCATTGGACTCAATACTCTGGTTGTTGAGGAAGTGTTTGTCAATGCGTTTTCAAACATATTTACCGGCATTTGAATAATTTGTAATTAATTTTATTGGTATATAAATATAAATTATGAAAACTATACAAATATATGGCATTTAAACTTTAAAATTGAATTTGTTATGAAAATTACTAAAATTGTAGTAAAAGTTTGTCCCCAATTGGCGTACTCTATGCACAGCTCTGAAGTGACGTCAATCTTATTGAATAAATTGTGACTAGAATTGAACCAATGAGTCAATTCTGAATGATATAATTCAATATAGCGGCTGTCATATAGACTACATCATTGAAAATAGAGTCATTGGTTCACTAATATTATAGCCGTTGAATGCATTAAAGGATGATGTAATCGTCATTTCTAGCACTTTCTCGATGACGGTGTGTGTGATTGGGTGTTGTAGTGATTACTTGACCCATACACCACTTAATTGGTTGGCAATACCTCTAGTGGACAGTGAGATGATGAGCGCAATGCTGGGCACTAGTGATGAGTGTAGGCCTACGTATGGGTTGTAGGGGTCATAGTATAGCGCATATACCGGACGACGCCTTCATAGAGTCGTACTGATCGTCTGCATAAGGGTTAAGAATCTAAGCTTATTATTAGTGGTGATTGAGTGGTCAGGCATGTGGTGGACATACCTTCGGGCACCTGCTGTATGAGTGCGTCGGCCATCTCGGGAGTGGTCGTGAAGAGCAGGTCTTTGACCAGTTGTACGGATATCTTGCGTTTCCTATACTTCTCCGCCGTTTCCACTAAACGCCGGATATTTTCCTTGAAATGCGGGAAAAGTGATCAAATGTTAGGCATTATTGCATTGGTATGGAGGGTATTGGGGGCACAGGGAGGGCTGGCAGGCATACGTTGTAGTATATTATATATGCACAGTTAGTTAACTATTGTCTGATATGCGCCCACTTTTAAAGGGGTTTAACATTAGTCTAAAAAGTTTTGTAAAGTTTTGGCAAAAGTTTGATAAAGTTTTGATGAAATGATTTGCCACTGAAATGCGTGTAATGTTAGCAATAATGATAGCATTCACTGAATGTGTGATCCATTGGTGACACATATTTTGTTTGTTGACATTATTTTGGAGATAATATGTGGTAAATGAATGGGTGATAGTGTTGGTGGTTGAGGGAAGGGTGAGGGGAACGGGATGTGACTCACAATGCGTTGCTGTTGTCTGGACTGTTGCTTCTTCATGAGCAAGAGCTCGACAATAATGGACTGTTTGTTGGGGTCGACTACCCGTCCGTTCATTTTGAAGCCCTGCATGAGTTCGTTGCCCTGTTTGTCGAGCTCCTCCTGAAACAGTTGTTTCGTGTTTCTGCCGGTGTTTTGTTTGGCTATATTCGTGAATTTGATGGACTGTTTGCCCCACACCTGCATGTTTATGAAGCCGTCCTTCAGGTAGTCCACCAACTGTTGGGTCACTCTCTTGAATGTCCAGATCTTCTTGAAGTTGAAGTCCGGGTTCGCGGTGTCGGACATGGGGTCCGTTCGCGTGTCCTCTTCGTCCAGAAATATCCGAAATTTTACATAAATGTCCTGTTGTTGGGGTAGTAGTGGACAGACAGTTAGGTTTCATATTGATATAATTTCCTGCTGTTTAGTCTGCTATTGATTTGTGTCTATGTTTATTAAATATTTCAATAAATATCAAAGTATTCCAGTGACCAGAATATTCTGTGTAACTCCCCCTGACATAGCCATAGACTACAGTATCATACATAACATGTGTCCCCCTAAACCTTGTCTGCATGAATGTGCAAATATTGTAATCTATAAATATTGGTGTCATTTGATCGGATGGTGCAATAACTGGTGATAACACGACTACCTTGTGATTACTGTTACAGTAGTTGCAATAGTACTAACATATTTCAATAAATGTAATAAACATTTTCAATAAACATTTACCGTACTTGTACTGTACACTTTACATACTGATAAAATGTAATTATGTATGCCGTACACACCGTAAACCTTGATGGCAGTCCTCGACAACCATTAATCTTAACGACAAAATGAATGGATCGACCCATGAGTTCGTGAGGACTGTCCACATAGACGTCGTCTCTCTCGTCGTACTCATTGCCCACTTCATCGCACGGAACGATCTCTATGTTTATGATTCCCACTTCACTGCCAGAGAAGTCATTGATAGACAACTGTTCCTTCAGTTCAATCATAAAGGCTAGTGATTGCAGATACACCTGAACGGTGCCGATGTGACACTCCCTGTGCAGGTCCTCCAGAAATGGGTCCCTGTCCTGAGAATAGAGTTGACATGTCAGCAAATGTACACAAATTGTATTAATTAGTGAACAAACAGCAGGCAAATCCCAGTCCTCTTCGCCGGCCTCGTAGTTCTGATACATCTCTTTCATGACATACAGTCTGTTGAGGAACTCGTCTTTAGTCCACTCGAACTCCTGTCCGCTTTCGATGTTTCGGATCCTCACGTAAACCTATGCAACAAATTATGAGTCAATTATAAAGTTGGTGCCAATGATGGCATACTTCGGTGCGTTCGCCAGCCTTTCCCAAGAACTGAGGGGAGACGAGCATAATCTCGAAGCGCACAAACTTCTCCAACTCTTCGCTGATGGCATTGGCCTCGTCTACGGCCGGAATCGCTTCCAAGAGGTCCTTATTGAGGAGCGCCTGCTCTATGGACTGGTCGTCGGTGTTGACGGCGAACCCGGCTTTGGTGGCGATCTCCTCCTGTGCCAACTCAAAGGTCACGTCCGCGTACGTCATCTTCGACTTGAGCTTCTGGTCCGGATGTGAGAAGACAAAGAGTTGGGTCGTCCCGAACAGGAGCCGGTCGTTGTGACTCAGATTCACTTTATGGGTGACGGGATCGCCGTTCAGCAGAACCCGGCAGTCGTCGCCACACCTCTCCATTATAACCTTCCCGTGTTCTGTGCGGTTGATGACCGCGTGGTGTTCCTGAAGGGACGGCCCTAACAATTGTATGGTGCAGTCCTCCGCTTTGCCGATAATGTTGGCGCCCTTTCTGATGATGTAAATGATTTTCCCCGACAACTGTTCGTCGAAATTAAGGTTTGAGAGGTAAGGGTTGTCCGCCTTTTCGCTCTCCAGTTTCTGTGACTCCACTTTCTTTTTAGACTTCTTGTGCTTCTCCTGTTGCAGCCGTTCCTCATATGACTGTTTCATTTGATTCAATTGTCTCTCGTTCTCATCCATGGCTGCCTTCATCTCCTCTTCCCATTTGCTCTTCGCTTCTTTCAATGCTTTGTTTTGTTGTGAAACACATATTAAGACAATATTTTAGTAAATAATTAGTTATACTGTGAATGTGTTATACCGTCGGGCGAGAGGGCAAAGCCATTGATAGGAGTGGCCGACCCATTGGTCAACCCATTAGTCCCGCTGTCCATCAGTTTCTTAAGCTTTTCATTCTCTTCCCTCAACTCTTTCACCAACTTATCCGTCGAATCCTTATTAATCTTCGCGTGATTTCTGATTTGTTTCGCTCTATCGGCTAATCGTAAGCAATATTTAACTTTTAAACTCATGTTATGTTTAAAATGTTGCTAAAAATAATTATTATATTTAAACAGTAAAATAAATTATGAAAATTCTATTGAATAGTGAATTAATTTGTTTGATTTCTTAGAAACCCCCGCTTTATATTGATTTTCTAATCAAATAGTCATAAAATCAATGAATAAAATAGTGAATCAATTGTTTTAAAAGTTTGAGTTTAAATAATTGAGCCTTTGCTTGAAGTGCATGAATATAGCGTTTGATGGCAGTACTTGTGCCGCAAAAGTTTTGCGACAAAACCACTGAAATTGAATATTGAATTCTTTATGGCGCTATTCACTTGATATTTAATTTATCATTTGTTTGTTAATTTTGTTATTAACGCTAAATTAGATAAAAATTATACTGAATATTTACTTTAAAAATTAAATTATAAATATTATGATGACTGCATTTACTGTATATACATTATTTGCATTTACATTGTATGATAAGATAATGAGCTAATGACTAGAAACCAGAATACATGTAATTCTGTCACAAGTAGTGCATGAATGGTAAGCAATGTCTGACCGTATCTGAGAGTGGAAAGGGTCTCATCGTAGTTGATATCTGCGGGACTGATTGCGGCCAACATAACAGTCTTGCTGTTGCCTCCCAATGCATTTTGTAGGAGCCGGGTCAGTACGGAGTCCCTGTAGGGCACCTTCACATTCTTGCCCTGAGCCTTCTCGGCCAACGCGTGGATACAATTGCCGACACAACTGAGCGATTGGTTTATGGAAACGCCTTCTTTCATGCGGTCACCCGTCGCCTGAGTGCCCGACAGTCGCTCACTATTACACCAATTGAGCCGTTAATTACAAACTTTACAATCTTTATAATGTCATCTATTCATGCAATTAAATCACTAAATAATTATAATTATTGCCTAAACACTAGAAATACTGTATTATATTCTTATATTTCTAAACTTATTATGCATTTGCATTTAATTTTTAAAATACTTAAAGCTAAGATTTATTTAGTTTATTAAACTATTTGTTTTTCGTAGAGATGTGCCATTGATTCACATGTTAGTGAAGTAGCAAATATTTATACATTCAAATAAATCAAATGAATGTGCAATCCATAAACTGGTCATTAACTGTACTGAACGTGCATTTAATATGTGAGTGTTAGCGCCCACCTGCCGGCTAAGTCGACCAGATTTATAGATGAGGTTTTAGTGGTTTCCTGTCCGGTGCTATTCTTGGACTTCTGGATTAAATTGATGACAATAATAGTGTGCGCTCTCGAAGATGTCTCGTTCATATTGGTGGCGGCGATACTCCTATTAGTGGTGCCCTCATTGATCCGCTCCTCCATCTCCTTGTAATTGGTCACCAAAAATGATTGCAACCCTTCCGCTGATCATTACAATTAATACTTTTATTATGATACAGTACAATTTCTGTGTTAAATAGTAATACTGTAATATATTTTTTGGGCACTCACCGTAAAACCCTTTGGTCGGGTGTTCCCTAATTTTAAGGCCTTTTTTCTTATTTTTATGATCTTTGCTATTATTTTTATTTTGACTCTCATTGTGATTAATATTAAGTAAATCTTTGACTATTTCATTGTATATCTCTAGCATAGAAAAAGTCACCTCAACCACCACTCCATCACCACTCCTGTGCTCTATTGTCTGAAATATCTCTTCACAAAATCGCGGAACAATTCCTTAATAAGTAAATCAATTATAATTATTAAATTCTCTTCAGATTATTAATTTTAGTTGTAATAAAATGAAATTCTAAATTATTAGTTTGCTAGTATTGTAACAATGTGAAACAATTCTAACCTTTATTGCTTCCATAGCCTACAATTGAATATGACTTCCCCGACCCAGTCTGTCCGTATGCGAATAGAGCGGCGTTATAGCCATCCCATGCATTCCTAAGCAATGTATGACCCAGGTCTCTATACACACTTTCCTATTAACAGACAATTAATGTATAAATAATTAGTATAATAGTATTTAAATTACAATGTGTTTAATAGTGGACATTGATATCAGATTTGAGTTTAAAATTTAAAACTCATTTTATATCAATAATTCATTTCCTAGATTTGACAAAAAAACTTTAATCAATAAATCGTTAAAAAGAGTCAAAACTTAAAAATAAAATATACTTTCATTTAGTTTTGATAAGAATTGATTACTATCATATGATTTACTTTGATCATGATGTGTTTTTAGGATATTATCAAACTTTTTTGAAGCAATCATTTATTATAATCTCATTTTCTTATTATAAGTCAGAGAGAGGTGTCAGTCAAATGTTATAATAATGTATGAAAAACTGTCAAATGTTTTTATGCAAACTATAAATTTAATGCAGTTTATTGAGAATTTGTGAGTGAAATCATCCATAATAGTTGTATTTTAGTAAAAATTTATATTAGATAAGGCGTAAATGTCCATGTCTTATGAGATCTAATCATATCAGGTGGGGAACTAATGGTTGTATATTTGTTTACTTTTTTGAAAATCAAATTCTATGACAAGATTTATAACAAGAATAAAAATTTATTACAGAAAATGTAATAAATGCTCAAATATTTGCTATATATTATTAATACTGGATTTTACATCACACTTTATGTGATAAACATTTCATATTTACAGAAAAACCATAATTACATTTTAACATGAAATATTGATATATTATTATTTGAAGTATAATAGCTTACGATAAAGATTCATAAAATTTTTATTATACAGTATTTTGCTAGTACTACAGTATATTCAAATAAAATATTATAAACACTTAGATCTTTTATAAAAATAATATTATAAATAATAATAATTATATATTATATTAATTTATATTAACAAGATGTCCATTAAAAATGAATTAGATGATCAAATTGTTTGAACTATTAAATTTTGATAAAGTATTATTTATTGTAATGCATTGAATTGTGTATTAATTTGACTGAACATGCATCTCATGTATGAAATGATTTTAATTGTCATTTTTGTATTTTGTATGAAATTACAATTTAGGATAAAAGATGAAACATTGAAGGAAAGTGAATGCGTTTATTGAGTACGAGTGCTGACCTGATCTGCATATTTGGGTCCATTTTCATGGGACTCATCGGCGATACAAAAGCCATTGTCTGCTTCAGTGAAGCCGTCGTGAGACCAATAGCTGTGATCGAAAGTAAACCGTTTGGGCTCTTCGGACAGGTTGTCGACACTGAACAGTTGGGTTGTGTTGCCCTCCATCGCGATAATCGACTGAGCATTTCGTTGCTTTTCTCTCTGATTGTAAACATTTTTAAGACACAATTTGGTCCACAGTTAAGGAAAATATCGATTCATTTCACTCAAACATTGATTGGTTGCAAATATGAGTTAATAAGTGCTAAACAATTATTTGTTGTATAAAAATACAAACTAAATCTGATTCCCCTAATGAATAATTAAATATTTTTTATTCATTAATAATGGATTTATTTTGTTTGGGAAAAATATGCACTCAAACACACATATAGTGTACGGATAATGTTGTACACAATTTGTATAAAATGCAGTTTTAATTCAAACTTAAAATATTTAAAGAATAAAGAGCATAAAAATTGTGAATTTTATATTAATATAATGATTGAAGTAATTAATGAAATTATCGCTATTATGAAGGCTATTATGAATGTATGAAACGGATTTTGATTGCACCGGTCTATTCATTTGGGTTATACTTTTGGAGATATGGCTTTAACTCACTCGCAATTTGTATACAACTATTTGTTTTGTATATAAATTATATTTTTATATTTAGGAGAGCAGTCATTGCACCCAATGTTTTGATTGTAATAAATTTCTGGCTATATATTAGACGTGAAATACATTTTTCGTAAAATAATGTTTTTGCTTTCATTTAGAGAGGAATGAATATTACAGAATCAAATGTTCACTATTTCTTATTATGGATTTTTCAATCCTTTTTACAACTTTTCATAAATAAATAATATTTTTATTACGAAAAATTCTTTACTATAATGTATAAGAATAAATATACTTTATTTTATAGAATTATTATTATTATTATTAATAAAACAAAAACTATTTTTGCAATAAGTAGTAAATTCTTAAAGAATCCAGAATATGATTATATTGGCGGAAAATATTTGGCCAAATATTTCATTAAAATGCTTAGAATTTTTGGGCCCTTTATTATGTAAAATTAAATATTATATTTTTTGCTTATTATTCTGATGCAATGTTTATTTGTTTGATAAGTATTGAGCGTAATTCAGATTTTCTATTCAATCATCAATTTAATCGATGGTTTGATTTATAATATTTGCTTAAAGAAGTAAATGTGAAAATAATAGTATTTATATCGTTATCATTGCAGCCATTCATCATTACGTGATCTAACGTATCTATTATTATAATGGCATAAATGTTAGCTAAAATAATTAGTGTATAACTTGTGCTAAAACAGGATATTTCCCATATTTTACTAAAATTTGTTGTTTTAAAATACTTTCTTCACAAGTCATTCATTCAATTGATTTATTAATATATTGATTCAATCAATCATAAATGTATTGTTTATAACATTCATTTAAATGATCTCATTTTATATACAAAATCAATCAATAATTTAATCTATTTTTCATTAAAACGATTAATTTATGGAACAATTAATTGTGTTATATAACTAATTAGATGTAGAATTTAATAAAATGTAACGAATAATGAAAGTGAGAAAGATAATTAATGTAATTAATTTTTATCTGCATTATTTTCATACACAAACTATAATATTGTTCGATAATTATTGTATAAAATATAAAAATATAAATGGTAGTTTTATAATTTTAAAAAAGTTTATGTGCTAAAGATATTTGGTTTATAAAGAAATTTAAACAACCATATTTATGAACATAAAGTAATATAATTAGTTTGATATAAATTGGATGCAAAATATGATTGCTGTCAACAAAATGACATGAATATAGTGATGGTTTGAGTGCATTATCTCTATTAATAAATATATGAATTTAAAGAATTGGATAGAAATGCAAGAATGGGGTCAACATTCCTCTCATAGATAAATGAGAATTAATTTCTGTTATGGAAAACAATAATATATAAAATAAGATGAAAATAAATAAAATTAAAATTATGTTTTAAAAGATATAAAAATAAAATTCTATATAACAGTAAAAGCCTTAACAAATTATTTTATAATAATTATTAGAAAGTAAAGGTTTTATAATTTATAAATTGTATAATATAAGTCTATTTAAGGTAAATATAATTTAGTTTTAAAGTAATTTGAATTAAAATATAAGTTTAAAAGCAAAAACACTTATTGCCAAACATGTACAGACATGTGAGTGACAACCGAATAATAATTATGATGCCATGTGTTCACACAAATTAGTGATTCAATAATTAGCACATCCATTGATAATTGAATTAAATTTGTATTGAAAAGGATATGAATGGTCTGACCCGGACGGCCACCCGAACATTCTCGGTCTCAGTCATTGTATTCCGGCTTAATTGACACCAAATAATATAAGTTTTGATTGCATTTTATAAATTGTAAAACAACTGTCAAATCAATTTGTTTACTTATGTGAATATCCTTTTATTTTGTCCAAACATAAAGACCTTTAAGTGGAGTATAAGTAAATGATTGCCACTTATGTGTCATTTGGATGTAAACACTTGAGCAAAAGAATTCACAAGAAAATAATTGTCAATTAATTATACAAATAACAAAAGTATTATTATTTAACATAAGAGCACTTTTGAAACAAATATATTATATGAGTTATTTGATCTCACTTTACATAACAAAGTGTTAGTATTGCCGCAATAATAGCAATGGGTTCGTAGTATTGGTGACCAAATGACACTAAACTATATTCACAAAGAAGTAGTTACTATATGTCTGATAAAAGACTGATTGCACTCTACTATTACCTCAATCGGTATAATTTGAATGCATTTTATGCATAATTTCAGTCACACTTTACTTGTTTTGTACTTATTCTCCGCTCTTTTTCTGATTTTTTACTGATATATCTGTGAATATATTTATATTTTGTCTCCAATGGATACAATGGTTGAGTGGAACAACAACTTTCCAATTAAACTCTGTTCTAACGGTTTGACTCGATATATGACAACAAATACATACACATACTATACATACAGAATAAAATACAGAATATTCTGTTCACATAAATGCTTTTATTTTATTCTTCACTTTTATTAGCGGAAAGTATGAGTACTTTCTCTCACATCCACTCTATTTCTTTGTAAACTATAAAGAAAACAATTTTTATATTCAATGTTAGAATCAATTTTTATCGATTTATACATTTGCACTACTTTTTGCATTTCATTAAACACTTCATTATGCTTTTAAATATCAGACATATTGGCATTTAATTTATAGTTAATTATTTGTTAGGTTATTGTTTATGAATTTATCAATCAACTGTCTACAAATCAGATAAATTTATGATTTTAAGAAGATTTTTATATATTAAAAACATAAAAAAAACTTCATGATAAGAAATATTTTAATATTTAGTTTATATTATTCCTATTGAAGTGTACTAATATTATATAATTTAATTTAAATTTTAAATCAATTTTCCATTAATGAATTAAATTGTTAATTTTAAATATTTGTTTGTTTAGAATTTTGAAACAATTTATTTAATTTATGGGAAAGTTTATACCCAAAAAGTTTCATTTGTTTTCATCAATAAGGAAATAATTTACTTTTGATAAACAATTATTTATTTTCAATAGATTTCATAATAATTATTAAAGAATTCCTTAAAATCCTTTACACTAATAAGACAATGGCTTTGCATTTAGTCTATTGTCCATCACATCAATAGACAAATAAACCGTTTTCGTGATGTTTTTATTTGTTAGATAATTTGTAATATTAATGAAATCTATTGAAATCAATTGTTTATCAATATATTATATTTACATGTTAAAAATAAATTTTATGGAACTTATTTTAATGAATATTGAGAACATTGATATTGGTGCAAAATATAAAATAGAAACTATACTGTATACGATTTACTGAAAATAACAAAGATTCAATTAAATTATTTTACAATATGTAATTTAAATTTTATATAGATAACTTATAGATAACTGTTCAACCTATAACTTATAGATACCAGTT